AATAATAAAATAAAATCCTGTCTCTTGTTTTTGCTCTTGTATCTTTTTTTTCTGGGGGATGTTTAAGGGTTATCTCTTTCTATTCATTGTTTAACAGAAAAGCAACTTTTATATGCTCTACACTTCCTCTGACCTGATGTTCTGATTAAGGAGGGAGGGGTCTTATGCAATAGAAAAAATGTAGCAGAAGCAACAGGGAGGAAGGAGAGCTTCTGAATTCCAGAAAAGGGTCAGCTATTCGTTTATCCCTGCAGCCCAGTGGAAGCCTCCTCTCCCCTGCTCTGCCTCTGGCCTCATTCTTTCATGAAAGCCTGGGCCTGGGAAGACCCTCCACTGGGGACCCAAATACATGTTTGAGTCCCTTCTATGATGCTGGACTTCAGTGCTGTCCTAAGAAGACAGATCTAGTCCTGTGGTCATTCCTCTAAGAATCTACATTTTGTTTGAAAAAGTCAGAAGAGGCCCAGGGCCTGTAGCTCAAGTGGCTAAGGTGCCAGCCATATACAGAGCTGGTGGGTTAGAATCCAGCCTGGGCCTGCCAAACAACATTGACAACTACAACCAAAAAATAGCCAGGCATTGAGACAGGCCCTGGGGTGCCAGCTACTTGGGAGGCTGAGGTAAGAGAATCGCTTAAGCCCAGCAGTTGGAGGTTGCTGTGAGCGGTGATGCCACAGCACTCTACCTAGGGTGACAGCTTGAGGCTCTGTCTCAAAAAAAGAAAAAAGAAAAAGAAAAAGTCAGAAGATACTTAAAAATATTTAAAAGGCTGGGTAAAGTGGGACCAGAGTTAAGTACAAACACAATAGTATGGCTTTTTTGTTTTTGTTTTACATAAAGACAGAGTCTTGCTCTGTCACCCAGGCTGGAATGCAGTGACCTGATCATAACTCACCATAGACTCAAACCCCTGAACTTAATCAATCCTCCTACCTCAAGCAGCTAGGATTGCAGGCATGTGCCACTATGCCCAGCTAATTTTTAAAAAATTTTCAACATCAGAATCGGTGTCTTATTATGTTGTAGAGTCTGTTCTCAAACTCCTGACCTCAAGTGAACCTCCCATCGCAGCCTCCCAAAGTTCTGGGATTATAGGCATGAAGGATTGTGTCCAATCAGTAAGGCTTGAGCACCAGAAATACCAGCAGCAATTGCTATGGCCTGGATTCTGTCTCTGGGCAACTATCATGACCTTCTCCACTGGCAGTAGATAGCACTTCTTGGGCCCTCCTCCCACAGCCAGAATTTGGTCATAGGTGAGGACTGTCTTCCCTCTGACATGTCCCCTCTATTCCAGATCTCTCTGATCCTAGTAAGACCTCACCCTGTGCTAAAGCAAAGAGTCTCTGTTTCCACTGGCAATTTCTTTCTTTCTTTCTTTCTTTCTTTCTTTCTTTCTTTCTTTCTTTCTTTCTTTCTTTCT